CTAAACTCTCCTAAAATAATTCTACTTCCAGGTCCCAAATGATATAATCTATATTCAAGCCTAAACTATAATGTTTTCATAAGATAGAAAAAAAAATTGCATATCTCACTATCTTTGGGATTTTAAAATGGTTAGTCTAGTCACTAGAATAAAACCTCACAATAAGTAAACCCCACTAAATTCCTATGCAGTCCCTATATATTCTGTGATCTATTGTCTACTGTGACAACAATGATTTCATCATAAACTTAGAAATTAAGGGCAGAACAATTTATCCCCCTTCCTAAGAACAGGGCAAAATTAACATCATACATGTTGCATTTCCCTGATACAAATATTGCATTTATTTCTAAGGCTATGAATAGGAAATTTAAGCCCAGTTCTTATGTATTAGTGCTTATTATATTATGATGACAAATAATCTGTTATATTCCATAAATTAACTAATATATCATCTTCAATGATTTCCAAAAAGGCAGTTAAGGGTCCCATTAAGCAAAAATGCATGACAGATTCTTCTTCATATAGTCCAGCTTAGTATTATGCACTACATTTAATCTTGCAGAAAGTAATTTTATCATGGCATTATTCTTAGATGTTTACTTGAAGACATTCAGTGCTGTAATTTACAGTGAAAGCATTGAGTTTTTTTCTAAACTACATTATGGATTTTGATTATTTAAAAGCATGGATCCAAATAGTGATCACTTTGCTAACTTTGACAGTTAGATTCAGGAGGTAGTGAAGGTAACGAGGGAGAAGGATGAGGATTTCTACTCCCATAAAGATGCATCTTCTCAGAAACACAGGGGGACAGGTCTACTCTGTCCTGTCGGGTCACTAGGAGTTGAAATTGACTCAAGAGCAGTGAGTCGGGCTTTGGTGAAGTACATGCCATGGAGAACACCCATTCACGTGCAAAGGAGAAAGGTTCTTGACCAGAGGAATTGACAGTGTCTACAATAATGAATTGAAACATAACCACAATACGGTCCCATCCATTGTAAACACACTAACGATTCACAATTTGAAATCTCCAGTTCAGACCCCTGCATTCAGATACGAAAACACCCCTTCAACTGCACCTCTGGGAATTCTCAGAACATTTTAAAAACTCATTGTTGTTGAGTCAATTATGACCTGGAGCTACACTACGGGGCAGAGTAGAACTGATCCTCTGGATATCTGAGACTGTAAATCTTTACCAGAATAGAAAGCCTCATCTTTCTCCCATGGACCGGCTGGTGGGTTTGAACTGCTGACATTGTACTTAGTAACTCGTAACACACTATACCATCAGGGCTCTCTCTATTTCCTTTATGTTATGTGTATTTGTTTAGGTATTGTTGATACATACAAGCATTAAATTTATATATTCCTTATTCAACATATTATCTGTTCATGAATTTCCTACTACAATACCAACCCTCCCACAGAATTCTAAGAGACAACCATTATTTAATACGTACACTACTGAACTTTGGTCACTCTTTATGCTCAGACTTGTCAGTATTCTCTATCTCAGTAAGTGGCAGCACCCTCCACTTACTCAAACTAAAACCATTGGAATTTTGCATTTTTCCTTCATTTCTCTTATATCCCACCTTTAATTCATCAGCAAAATATGTCAGATAAAACTTCAGAATACCTTCACATCTCATAAACCAATGACTGTCATCCTAAACTAAGTAAACGTTTTCTCTTGTCTGGATGTCAATAAGAACATCTCTTATCTGTCAGTGTGATTCTCCTCACAGCACCCAGAATCGATCTTATAAATATCAATCAGACATTTTTCAACATTCCCCAATGGCCTCCAATCACATTTATAAATTCCCTAAAGCAAGTTGTTATTTGGGTCAATAAAATAACAAAATAATTAACATTTTTTCAGCCATTATTCATTAGTAATCCTATTGCATGAAAACACTAACAAAACATTTTTTGATTGACAGAAGAATAACCAAGCCAGTAGGTAATACGTGACCATATGTATGAATGTAACAATCATGACTCAGTTTATAATGGCAGCAGAGTATGACTTCAATGCAAAGAAAATCTATTTATTCTATCTACTCCACCCCATCCTATCACATCATTTCCAGGAAAAACCCTGATTTGCATTTAAAAGCTTAAAGAGTCTTCAAACCTTAATAAATCTTCAGAACATATCAGGAATACATCTAGAGGTTGGGAGGGGGAGTCTGAGCAAAAATTATAAAGTTTTGATGTCTCCTCTTCATGTACTATATTGGTTCATTGAAGTCTCGGCTACTCTTCAGAGGAGTGGAGTTGATTGGCAGTAGATAGAGCATCGGTGGGGCAGTCTTGAGCTGTCATTTAGATACCCGCTCCCCCCAACTGTCCATGCAGAATACATGGCAGGGCAGAAAAGGTCACTCTAAACATTTTTAAGTTAGTTCACAAAAGTGAGCCTCCTAAGGATCTTTATGGTTTTTCCCATAGCTACTGTTCACAATGCTGAGTTTCAATCAAATATTTTATAACAAGAATCAGTGATCCCTTATCCCTTTCTTACCCAATTATAATTCCATTACCTTGAGGACAGCTACATCTCTTTTTGAAGTAAACGGTTAGATGGTAGAAAGATGACTGAGGGGTTCCCTGCATGAATGGTTGATTGCTGCCCTCTCCACAGCCCCAGCTCAACATGTATTTAACCTTTTCACGGCCCATCATACACACAAGGCAGCTTCAAAAAGTTTGTGGGAAAATGGAATAAAAAGATAATGAAATTTTTCCATGAACTTTTTCAAGCCCCCATGTATGTCACCCATCAGTATTTTCAGCTCCTTGGCTTTCGTGGGAAGCTACTGTCCCGGCTGTAGTGCGCGTTTTCCCTGGTGTAGACCTGAACGGAACCGCGAGCCTCACTCTGAGTGTGCTACCTCTGGGACATAGGTGCCCACGTGATTTTATTGAAATCCGTATTCTCTCAAAATAATTTTCATTCCTTTATTTCAGCATCCCTCCCTTACCAGAAATACATGGAGTTAACAACACAAAACCCAATGCAGAAAATAAATCCATCATGAAAGACCTTAACGCTTACAGTCAAGAAAGTCCATTTTGGAAAGCATCTAACAGAAACTGAACTCTTTCAATAGAATGACTGTTTTTCCATCAGTGGTGTAGTGCATAAGATTTAAGATAAATTCTGTCAACTGCTATTCACTACTGAGCTGAATTCTTAATATAATAAGAATCTTACCCGAAAAGTACTTTCCTCATTTCTGCTGTCAAAAAAGTGCAAAGTAAGTGTGATTATACTGACTGGTTCTGGAGTTACATATATTATCATTTCCACTATCATTTCCATATCATATGCCAGGGTTTTCCTAAGAATCCATGTGTTTTGAATAAGTAATGACTTATTTGTAGTCAAGGTGCCATTGCCCAAACATCTTTTGATTAATTTAGTTACTAGCTCATCATACCCCATATAATACCTTTTCTTTAAGGTTCTAATTTCAAGCTGGCTGGCCTGTCTATATAGAAAGAACTGTATAAAAGGTATTATTGTTATTTCTTGTTTATTTGATATAAGGGCCTTCAATTACTCTCCACTCCTTCCCCAAATCCCTCTTATTTGTTAGTTAACACCTTGTATTTTTATAGAAATTGTGTCTTCCTCTTCTTCGAAGCTAAATTCAAAACCTTTGCTAACACCATATATACTTGAGTATAATTCGACCCAAATATCCGCCAAGGGACCTAATTCTACCACAAAAACTGCCTTAAAAATGTACTGGAAAACTCAGCTTATACTCAAGTATATACGGTAATTCTTTTTCTTCCATGTCTCACTTTAAATCCCAGTCTTGTCTATTGATTCTTCTTCAACATGGACTAGCACCTACAAGTTCTCCTTGACTGAAATCAATAGAATTAGACATTTAATAACTACCCCCCCCCAACTCTGAGTTACTCCAAATCCTCCGATAGCTCTCAAAAATTCTATAGGTTCTCCTAATCCAAATATCTTTTTAAGGAATTCATAAGCTTTCTGAGCTGACCTCAATTGACTTTTGCATACTACTCTCCAGAAGAAAGTCTTTGCTTCTACTAGCTTCAATTATCATCTGCCCTGAGTTTGTCAATGCTATAATTATCACTTTAAAACATGTGCTTTATCTTCAACTGCCCATTTCTAAGGTTGAGTTTAAATAAGCTCTTCTCTTTGGAGGTTCCTTCATAGCCCTAGACTGTATTGAATCTCTTTCTCAGTCTTCCTATAGTTTTTACAAACCAAGTCTTTATTTAGCATTTAATTATAGAAGTCTTCAATTTACACTTATATTCATGTCTATCTATACCTGCATCTTTTCCCACAAACTACCAACTCCATCAACCAAACAACAAACATACTGATCACCCATATGTCCATTGACGAGTGGGTCAAGGAATACAATACTGAATGATATTTCTTATATTTCCTCAGAACTTGCAATGCAATATACATCTCAGATAATAGAAAGTACTTATTAAGTAAATAGAATACTACCGATAGACCTTTTATTAAATGTTCCCACTATTCCAAAGATGAATACATAACACAGAAGGTCATGAAATGATGAAATATTTGAGACACATCATCCTAAGTGTCAATTATTTTGGAAATCAAACCAACCACCAATTCAAAATTCAGGTTATCAAATAAATACATTTCAATTCTCTTCTACTGCCAGTTTATCTGGCAAGTAAACAGAGCCAATGATGTGAAAGCGCAATGCACAGAGCATTATTAAAATTGTACAGTACATTATTAACATAGGTTATTACAATTTCATAAACAAGTCTTCCAGAAAGAAAATATGAATATCAGAACTATAAAAACAAACAAAACCAGAAAATATGTGCATACGTCTTTACATTCCAAACAAATTTTTATACATGCTGGCTGTCATAGTACTGAAGCAATTCAAATTACTATATATTATTTCCAAAACAAATATCTTAAAACTGTGTGTTCTACATACCTGTCCAGTCTCCAACTATTTTAAGATGGACCCCAAAGGTTGCTTTAGTTTCAGTAGGACACTGAAAAAAATAAACACAAATCATTTCTGAATAAGAAACGCATTACTAGGCTGTGATTCAACTACAACATCTATTCTCATTGTACATGTCCCCAAAGCAGTAGAAGCTAGGAATGAACAAAGTAAAAGTATATACAGTGTTTAATCAGTAGAAATGAAAATCATGACTACCTAGTGCTCAATGAGACCACTTAAAATGCTCTTCAAACTCCTAAGTACTTAGACAAAATAATAATGCATATACAATCTAAAGTTGTTAGAAGAGTCTACCAATTCTTGCTAAAATGTGTTTTGAGTTAAAATACCTGCCTCAATAAGTGATTATCCAACACTTACAAATAACAGGTGCCAAGGCCCATACTAAATACCATATTTCCAAGCTCTCCAATAACCATGCCAAGTGATCTCGTATAGATAAGAAAGTTGAGAAATATTAAAATAAATAGCATAAATCCTCTGTTATAGAAGCAATTCCCACTGAACATAACCCTACAAGACCGAGTGAAAGTGCTCCATCAGGTTTCCAGAGCTAGACCAAATCCTAAAGGAACAGGAAGCCTTATCTTTCTTCCACAGGGAAATTAGTGGGTTTGAACCAGCAACTTTTCAGTTTGTAGCCCCTGCTCACCCCACTGCACCACCGGGGCTCCTTTCCCAAATGAATGAAATGAGCACACAAACAATTAAGATTTTGAATCCAAGTCTGCCTGACTCTCTACTTCTAAATTAATGCTATCTACTGTCTTACTTAAGACAGACACGTGGAAAACAGCTGAGGGTTACACGAGAAACTAAATGGAGTAAACTAAATAGAAATAAATTATTTATTGGATACAAGCATAACTTGATAACTAGTGCACAACAAGATGAAGCAGGGGAAGAATGCATTGACAAAGTCCATGTGACGGAACAGATAACTGAAGTGGTTCTGATTGGAGACTGGGTTATATAGAGCAAGTCTAACATCAATGAGTTCATGGTATTGGCTAATTCAAGTAGGTCATAGAAGAACACTCACAAGACAGGACAGAAAGGATGAAGAACATGCAAATATGTTTGCAACCCACAGATGAAAGAAGAAAAGTAATTTATAAGTCCGTAAAAATATGAGAGAAAGTGTGAAGTATAATAAACCAATTAAAAACACATGTTCACAGAAGGAATTTCCAAGCAACTATCCTGCAATTGGTGTTTTTTTGTTTGTTTGTTTTTAATCAATTTATTGGGGCTCATACAATTCATCACAATACATAGATCAATTGTATAAAACACATCTATACATTTGTTGCCCTCATTATTCCCAAAATTCGCTTGCCTCTTGGGTTCCCGGAATCAGCTCATTTTCCTTTTTTTCCCCCTCCCCTTCCCTTCCTCCTCCCCTCTCCCCCATGCACCCTTAATAATTTATAAATTATTATTGTATCTTATATTACACTGTCCGGCGTCTCCCTTCACCCACCCTTCTGCTGCCCATCCCCCAGAGAGTAGGTTATATGTAGCTCCCTGTGATCCATTCCCCCTTTCTTCACCCCCTTTCCTTCCTGGTATCGCCACTGTCACCACTGGTCCTGAGAGGTTCATCTGTCCTAGATTCCCTGCGTTTCTGATTCCCATCTGTCCCGCTGTGCATCATCTGGTCTAACCAGGTCTGCAAGGCAATATTGGGGTCCTGGTAGTTGGGGGGAGGAAGCGTTTAAGAACCAGAGGAAGGTTATGGGTTTCATTATTGCTATACTGTACCCTAAGTTCCAGAGGGGTAGTGGGGAGATGAGGCAATTGGTGTTTTTAATAGTATTGATATTGTTAACAGTATAAAATATCAAACTAACTTGAAATACTTTCAAATTTATATTATTTATATATTTATCTTGTCTCATATTTATTTTTAAACTTTTTAATATGAATTAAGTGAAAGTTTATAGATATCTTCAGTTTGCATTAAATGATGCATACGCATCTTGTTTCAACTTAAACAATCTAATTCATTGAATGTCTTATCATTAATCCCACTTCCTCCCGGTGTTTCCTGTTATCACCTGAGCTTTGTCCTGGGATCAATGCTACCCTTTGATCTAAAATGGTTGATTATTCAACACAGGAGAGAGCTAAGTTCCAGGCATGAAGAGTGATGAAGAACTAGTTCTAATTGAGACTCTAATGTGTAATTATTTCACTTACATGGTGCCTCCTAAAAAGTCTGATGTCATCTGTAAAAACCGCCATCTCACGGTGCATCATCTGAAGACACCCCACTGATAGAGTAGAAAGAAGGTCAGCAAAAGAGAAGGTGACTCTCAGAGGGATGAATGGACACACCTGCTTCAACAATGGGCTAACAGAGCAGTAATTGTGAAGACTGGGCAGGACCGGGCAGTATTTCCTTCAGTTGTGCACAGGGTCCCTAAGCATCAGGGCCAAGTCAGTGGCACCTCACAACAGGAGCACTTCATTTTCCACCATGAAGAGCTCACTAATGGGAGTTGTAGATCACAGAACAACAAAAAGCCCACCTGCGCTCAATGTTACAACCAATCTGATTGCCTCATAACGCGTGATGTTTCCTTTACTAGAAGCTGTATTGTCAACTGCAATTTAAAAAAATCAAGAGAAATATTTTTAAAAGGAAAAGAATGTTAACAACTTCTTTTAGAAAGAAGGGAATAGGGAAATCACAAAGGATGTATTAAAATACTACTCTAAAAGATACCTGAAGGACTAGAATTTTTTGCTCTCTCTAAAAAAGGAATCCATTTTGGTGGTGTTGACCATGAATTATTTTGATAAGAAATTAAAGGGTTCATGTGGACTAAAAAGGGACGGAGAGAGAGAGACACAGAGAGAGACAGACAGACAGACAGAGAGAGAGAGAGAGAGAGAGAGAGAGAGATCAAAGCCAAGAAGATATTAGCATGGCGAGCAAAACAGTCTTTGTCTGCATGTACATCTGGATTCACTAATCTGATAATGTATTTTTTAAAATACATATTTTGCTTAACATTCTTATCTCTGTCCTATTCTTTCAGTACAGATATTGTAAAATATAATCACATGTGATTTTTACCATCCCCTGGGCTCTTGTAGAATTATAGACTAAAATCTTTCCTCTAATTGCTGGCTGAATGTATCAAAATAGCTTCAATAGCTAATAAAGTTTTGAAAGGATAAAATTCAATTGTGTTGCTCAATCCTTTGTGAATGTTCTCTTTATAAATTACTGATATTTCCTCAAAGCAACTACAAATAAAAATGGCATACTTCAACACACTTAATTGAAGCATATTATTGTTGCTGTTAAAAACTCTCTGCCATCCAGGTGATGCTGCCAACTCCCAGCGACCTTATCAGACAGAGTAAACCAGCCTGGTAGGTTTCAGAGACTATAACTCTTTAAGGGAGTAGAAAGCCTAGTCTTTCTCTCTTGAGTGGTTTCAAACTGCAGACTTTTGGGACAAGTCGGTTCTGATCCATTGCAATCCTATACACAACCGAACAGACCACTGCCTGGTCCTGCGCCATCCTCTAAGCATATTCATCTTCCAATTAAGGGGCCTAAACAGAATGAAATGCTCTAAGCAGGTATGACATGAAACGCTGACTAAAGACAGACACACACACTTCACTATCTGTGCACAAGTGTTCAAATTCATTGATGTTGAATTTGTGTGGTAATTCTTTAACGTTTCTTACAGTCTTTTTGCTTTGAAGCATGGTATAGCTTATTATAATTGGTCTTAATTGGCTTGATTTTTGAAAATGAAGGATTTCACAATTAAAAAACCAAAAAACCAACCCTCCCCTAAACTAAAACACAGAACTTGGCTATTGCCTTCAAGGTTCTCATGACAACCATGAAACGGCCAGCTGGTCCATTAGTTGTTTTGCAATGATTTCTATAGTAGTTTAAATAATATTTAACATTGCTGTCTTTTTTAAAATTATTTTATTGGGGGCTCACACAATTGCTGTCTTTTTAACAGTGCTTAGAAAACTTCTCAACAGGAACAGATAACAAAGCTTCAATATTGATGGATATCTTGTGTCTCCTGGGGAAGAACAAGGAGGCTTTCTGCTTCCCTAAGCCTGCCGGCCTCAGAAACCCCCAGAGCAGTTCTAATGCGGCCAGTGTGAGTCAGCACTCACTCCATGCCAGGGCGTTTTGTTTGAGTTTTCCTGCTCCCTAGAATATTAGTAAAGACATGTGCTTATGCCACGTTCAGTTGTGAAAGTTGCAGAATAATATGTACAGTTTAGTTGCCACTAGTAAAGTAAAAGATATATTAGTCCTTTTCCCTATGTAAGAAACAGTTTGAGAGAATGTATAATGAGCTGCTAAGAATATTAACATCTAGGAAACAGAATTAAATGCAGAGGAAATGAACACACTCATATTTATTTCTTATGTGCCTCTGCTATTCAATTTTAGTGCCTTTGTTATATTTTAAAATTAAATCATTTTAAGGTTACTTTAAAACATAAACATTATACATCACTAATGTTATTAATATTCTATAATTTTAATGTTATTAATATTACAGAATACATATCATTCAATTTTAAGAATAAGAAAAAAAGTCTTTAAAAAAACACCTAAAAAAGATCTGGAAGAGTGTGCAGATCTTTGATTTCCTGGAGAAAATAAACTTTCATTTCTTGCAGTTACTTGCTCAATATGACATTGCACTCTTAATGTGTCTGAATGACTAATAACCTTAAAACAGTCCCACAATGATTTAAAAAGATATTGCTTAACTTGTCTGATGTTTGGCAACTAAATCTAAAAATGATGTCATACAAAATTATTTAAAACAGCAAAGATATTTATAAGCTGCAATATTTTTATTTTTCAAACTAAGAGCCTTGAAATAATAAAAGTGACTGAACATTATTAGTGCCATTTAAATGTTCAATGTAACCAAAGTTTTTAAACCAGAGAAAATTATCAAATCATATGGTAGTACTTTAATTACTTTTATAAGGTTTTTGGTTCCAATAATTTCTTAC